TTAAAATGCCAATGTTGGATTCACATACCATGCAAATGTCTGTAATTAGATAGAGATAAGGGTAACTAAATGAGAATTAATTGTATCTTTTTTGTGACTGTGGTTATCATTAGTGTAAAGGTGTCCTTTTGTATAAATTGGATAGTTTAATACACTGGACAGGTTGTGTACCTGACTCCAAGGTCCTATGAGGAAACTAGGCTCCAGAGTGTTTGTCCATGATCACTAGCTGGTGAGTGATAAGGCAGTGCAAATGTATTTTTATTTCTATTTGAGTGTCCTTTTTTTGATAGGGCATACCATAGCCGTTTAACAGCATGTTGAAACTTTTATGCAGCATTTAATTTCTTTTGTCTGAACCGGAAATCACATCAACAGCATAACATTAACTTGTTTCCGATTATAAAAGTAACACTTGAAAACTAAAAGTGTAAAGAAGAAAATGTAAAAGTCAGATTATTATTTCCTTGTAATGGAAATAACCATGAATGTATTGCCTCCTAATCATTTTTCTCACCACATGGTTATTATTTTCGCTTACTCTAACATAAGTGTTTTTCAGTGTCTGTCTTAACTACCCTTACTAGTCAAGTTTTGAAGTAAACACACGCGCACACGCACACACATAAATTAGCATCTTAAAAAGAGTAAAATAAGATGAAAATACTCAACTATATTTTGCAAGCCAAAGAGTTAACTTGCAGAAGAAATAAGCATTAGCAGATTCAGCAATTAAGTCCTACTTATAGTTTGTCTGGAGAGGATAATAATATATATATAGTATCCTCAGCAGTCAGTGTGGTGTGGTGTGAATAGCACAGGCTTTGCATTCAGGCTGACTTGACTGAATCCTAGTCCCACTACTTACTAACTGCCTGATGTTGGACAATAACTTAACCTCTCTCACCTTTGGTTTCTTATCTTTAAAATGGGGTGAAAAATGCCTGCCATTCAGGGCTGCATTAGGATTAGGGAAACAAATATGACTAAAGTGCCTTACCTGGTATCTGGATATGTTAGGAATAGGATAAATGATAGTCAGAAGAAACCTAAGGCTTACACAACTGAAGTAATTTTGGAAAAATTAAAGGCGACCATGATATACCCATAATTAACTAAGTAGCTATGTCTTCAAAATATTTATTTGCATTATTTACCATTTTTCCTTTCTCTTGCAAATATATTACTACCCAAAGAGGAATGAATGGAAAATGATCAAAAAGTGACTGTCTTGAGATGCTTTCTACTCTGGCAGGCCATGGTCCAGGCTACAGTGTTTACCTCATTTCAGAAAGTCCAAAGCATTATGGGCCAGGATCTGTGTGATTTCCCGTGCAGCAACGCACTGCACCGGCTGAAACAACGTGCCCGGGAATCTCCTGGCCTGTCTCTCTGTTTCAGTCCCATTTAATCAGATGAATGGGCTAATCTGCCTTCCCGGAGCTCCCATTGCCACTTAAAAGGGCAACCAGACCAGTGTATTTTGTACGGAGAGCCACTGCGCCAGGGCGCTGGCAAAACAGCCACGCTGGCCAAAACAGCCGCGCCGTCTGAAATAGCCGTGCCAGCGACCGATGGGGCTCCTCCGCCTGGAAATCTCCTGGTCTGCGGGCAATAAAGATCCATCTGGAAATGTGCCGTCCACTCACCCTCTGTGCTTTCACTGGGAGCTGCAGTCCTGAGCTGCTTCTAAAGGGCCATCTTTGAGGCAACTTTTTAATCTTTACTTCCAAATAAGATGAGAAAAATAGAGGAAATCACTTGTTTCTGATATGGAAAGAATTAGAGACATAGACCTATCCGAAATAAGAACACTAGTAAGGCATTCATAAGTGATGTAAGTATGGAAGTGTATTTAAATATACTAGTATGTAAGTGATATAAGTATGGTATTAGGTAAGTTCTTATGAAGGAAACAAGACAATATCGCTAAGGAAATGATATGTAAGTGGATCTTGCAAGATAAATAGAAATTCACCAGCAAAAGTAACTGCCTTCTAGGCCCAGTTAACTGTGTATGTAAGACAACAGTGGATTATGGGGAGCATGAGGGAGGGGTGGAGAGTGAGCTTAGGGCCACTGCTCTAGTACTAAGTTTGAATTATAGAAAATATAGCAATATTTTAATTTTCATTGCAGAGAAATGTTGAGAATGTTATATAATGAGTAAAAGCAAAAAGAATAGCAGAGCCAATCAATCAATATAAGATAATTTTTAAAACACAGAAAAGACACTTAAATGTGCCTTTGCCTATGAAAGGGTGAAGCACATGCCATCCCAAAATATGTCAGATTGGTATATTGATTATTTCGAGGTGAAAACTTTGGAGAAATTGGAGTTTCATGAGGCTGTATGCACAGAATGCCTTCCTGAGCCAGCTGTTCCAGTATACAGAAGAGACACTGAATGACATTGCCAAGATGATGGTGTATGTCCCCAAGGAGGAACACTTCTTTTCTTCCCAGGGCTGCAAGTCTATTTCCCAGAGGATTAACTACTTCTATCATGAAGGCTAGATAAAGACTGTGGAGCTGCTTTATTCCACTAACAGGACCCTGGGACCTGTAGGAGCACCCTGTTTGCAACTGTGAGGTGTTTGAGGGGTGTGGACTGGCACTCAGCAGTCACTAACACAAAACTGGTGCATAAAAGGCAGGCCTTACATTAGAAACAGTGCCAGTCCTTTTTTTGTTGTTGTTTTTCTTTTCGGAGGTACTACCGAAATAGAAACTTGGATCTCCGGATTCAAAGAAACAGCCAATTCTTAAGATCACTTGGTGCTTTAAAGACATGCATTCCAAAGTGGAACGTGGTTAAAGAAAGTGGGCCAGGTGGTTGAAGAAAGCCATGTGGGAGCTCAGGAAATCCCAAGAGCCTATGGTGATGCTACAGATGGTCTCTTTAGCATCTCAGCTCTTCTGTAAGGAAAAGCTTGGGTGTTAACACCTCAGAGGTAGTAGAGTCCTTGGGTTACAGAGCAGATGACAATGAAGTTCTGTGACCCAGCAGTAGAGAGTACATTCTAGGTTTGCTGCCTGGTGGGCTTTCAAATTGGTACTCCCAGAGGAAAGCTGAGCTGTTTCTGTTGTGAATGGATCAGCAAAGAGCCTCAGGCTGAAGGAAAAAGTGCACAGAGGAAAATATTTTACAAATCAGGTCAATGTAGGCCAAGACTTAGTATACAGATTTTGGAGGGAGGGGGGGAACCTTGTAAAACAATTAGGGATCTTGACATGTTATATGTAAAGATTAAAATTTTCTATTCTTAAAAACAAAAAAAGAAGAAGAAAGGGCAAGCTTTGTCTTTTTCTGTGTGCAGCGATCAAGATTCCTCTGGGAGGGGCACCCTCTCCATACCAGGGTGACAAAACAGCGGTTATCACCAGAGTTGGAATTGGAGGCTGCAATGGAACTGAATAAACATATTTACATTGTCTTCCATCTGCTTTACACACCCCCACCATATATCTCTGGTGACTCCCCTGGAAAATTTACTTCCTCTAGCCAGATTTTCTTTGTCCTGTCATTTTTCCTCATATTTATCACTCTGTGCCTAAAAATGTATAAAAACACCTTGCTTTGGCCACTTCTTTGGACTTCACTTACTTGTAAAGATCCCCATATACATGTAAAACTAATAAAATTTGTAGACTTTTCTCTTGTTAATCTGCCTGGTGTCAGTTGGGCTCCCAGATCCAACTGAAGAGCCTACTAAGAGCTGAAAGGGCGTTAGAGGTGAACTTTTACTCCCCCACACTAAAATTGGACCATTTTCAGGAAGATGACCAGTGTCTTATTTCCATCCAGCTCATTGGCCAGTGCTTCAAAGGAGAGTGAACGCCATCACCCCACATCAGAAATGTATCAGCATAATAAGTAACTTGATTGATAAAACATCAAAACCAGTTGCCATGACTTGTTCTCTAAAGTGTTAAAAATTCGTGGTGCCCCAAACCACTGATTCTTTCTAAGTTTCCATTATTCACCACTGACTTGGTTAAAGATCACTTTGTAGAGAGAAGTTTATAGAAGTGGCAAAAAATACATATATATTTATATAAACAAACATAAATGTTATATACATATATCTTTAAAATTAGTGATAAGAGACACTTTGGTTGCAGATCAGACAGGAAATAATCAAGTAAATTGAAAACCTAAAGCTCATGCTGTTCTCATTACTTTATTTTCTCATAATTACTTCTTGACATTTCCCTTTAGTGTAAGCATTAGATGAGGAGCCAGGAAGCCAGGATTCTAGACCCAGCCATATCAGTTTCTACACATCTGCCTCATCTCAGACACATCCCTTTACTTCTCGAGCCCTTGGTTTCCTGATCTCTCAAATAAAAGGATTTTCAAATAGGTTCTGCAGGATATGGGAGAGATACTTCAAGGGCCACTCTGGAAGATGAAGGGAGGCCTCCTGCCAACCTTTCCCCTTCAGACAGAGCAGCTTTGCTTTTATTTGTATTATAAGTTGGGGCTGTCACAAGATTTTTTTTGACAAAAGGATTCTGTCACTTTTTTAAAGTTTGAAATTCACTGAGGTAAATGTTCCATAAGGGCCTATCGGCTCAGAAACAATTTTCATAGCTGTAGATTGTTCTATGGAACAATAGTTTCTTCTCTTTGGTTCTATGGGGTACACAAGATACTATATGTAGAACAGGGCATAGAATGCAGGAAGCATTCAGTGTGTTAGCCGTTAATCTCTGCCACCCCTTCCCCCAGCAGGTCCCACACAACTGAGACTGCATTTGTGACTGTATACTTTAGAGTATGAAATGATGGCCTGAAAGATTGTCTGATCCATCTGCTTTATATCATCACCACCATAAAAATGTCTTGGGCATGTTCTCTGTGAATTTTTAATATAGTTTATTTCTAGTTTTTGTACTTCGCCTTTTTCTCTCACAGTTGAGTTTTCTTTCCTATCAGATTTTTAAAATAATTCTGATAATACATTTTTGAAAGTTAATGTGTTCTTATGTTCCAGCCTTGTCAACTCGTGGGAAAGTGACATCAGCATCCACCCCCTAACCCTGCCCTCTGCAACCTGCTTGGAGCTGCTTTTGATATTATTGAAGAGTAATGCCAGTCTGCCTTCATCTCTTCGCCATATGAATTCCTTTCAGGTGAGTAATGGCTTCTTTTCTAGGCTGTGATTTCTCAGTCTTACTTGGAATTATTTTTCAAGGATCCTCTCTTTCACAGGAGATAGCCCATGGAATTCCCCAGTTTCAAATCATAACAATAAGCATAATGTCTGTATTGCTTTGTCCATCTGGTTTTTTCTGTTTGTTTTTTGGAGGCGGAGACTCACTCTGTTGCCCAGGCTGGAGTGAAGTGGTGTGATCTTGGCTGACCGCAGCTTCTGTCTCCAAGGTTTAAGTGGCTCTTGTGCCTCAGCCTTCTGAGTAGCTGGGACTACAGGTGCATGCCACCGCACCTGGCTAATTTTTTGTGTTTTTAGTAGAGACACGGTTTCACTGTGTTGCCCAGGCTGGCCTCAAACTTCTGAGCTCAGGCAGTCGGCCTGCCTCAGCCTCCCAAAGTGTTGGGATTACTGGCACGAGCCACCGTGCCTGGGCTTTGTCTATCTCTTTTTAAATAAATGAACAAACAGAGGCGCAGAATTGACTAGGTAATTATCTAGTCAGGCAGAACCCACAGCTCTATAACTCCAGGCTTTGTTCTTCCGGCTCCCATCTTGCCTCTGGGAAATGTCAAGAAGATCCAGCAGATACTTGTGAATGCCAACTCCTTTCTCCCAACTTTGCACGAGACCCAGGAATCTAAACCATTATTAGTGGCTTTGCTGCTGTTAGCCTGAAGTCAGATTGCCAAGTGGATGTTTAACAGGATTGGTCTGTTTAATAGAGTTCTACTGTCTGAACCATTTCCCTCTCTCTCCTTAGCCTTCTCCCTTATCACTGCCCTACTGCCCTGGATATTGATTTGTTCCCATAGTCTAAGTGCTGCAAATGTAAACTGGCCAGCAAGATGACCAGCATGAAGAGACCTCCTACCACCCTCCCAGTCAGCTAATTGTCAAATGGGGTGGCAAATGAGAATCAGGATGTTAACTCGTGGCTTAAGTTGTGGCCTTATCACTACTACATGTAATTGGACTTATCTGTGACTCTTGACAATGGAAAAATACTCAGGAGCTCTCTGATGCTGGTGGGAATACAACATATATTGCTGAGAAGTAAATAAACATGGGTTATTTCTACTTCTGAGGGGTTGTTGTTGTATCCTAAGAAAACTTCAGGAGCATTGTATATTGCTTGGTACCTCTGACGTGGTAAAACAAGATGTGGATTTTAGAACATCTTCTCATTTTATAGGAGAGGAAATTGCGACCTGGAGCATGGAGTGAACTGGCTAGGGAACACTCAGTGGGTCAGAGACCAAACTGGACTCACTCGCCAGGGTTACTCCCTTTGCCACTAACTGCAGTGCCCACTAAGGTCCTGGGGGTGGAGCGGGTGTGAATGCTGGGTGGAGGCAGGTTATTAGGTCTGCCTTGGAATGTCCATAGCCTCCTCTTATTTTGCAGTAGTTTGTATTTATTTATTTGTATACTGCCTTAAACTAGATATGATTTAAAATTCTATATATTCATATTTCTTTAAGTTCTGCTCATGGTATTGAATAATGCAAAAAGTTAGTATATGCCCACAAACGTTCATGGAGAAAGAGACAAGAAACTTAATAGTGGTTATCTTTGAGGCATGAAAATGGAAAACAATAATTTTTTATTTTACTCCTTCCTTCATGTACTGTTTGAAATTTTCATGCCATGGGTGAGTGGGTAGCAAGAGAAATTACTCTGACTTCAAGGATTTTATGGCATATTGGGGGAAACAGGACACTCCCATGTATGATTTAACTTGAGAGTAATTTTATTACAACGTAGCCTCAACACATTCTTAACGAAATTAAAGGTAAAAGAGTAATCTAAACCAAGTATTGGAGGTTTGAGAGGAAGACTAATTTATATTTCTTCCCCATGAGCCCCAGGAGGCCTTGCCTGCTTTAAGGATGTCATCTCAGTCTCATGGAAACACAGGTGCATGAAGCCTGGCCTGCAACTGGCAACAATAGGGTGGTCTTAGCACCTTTAATTAGAGGAGCTCTTAGAGTGGTCTGCATGTTAATTACTCAATGTCCTTTTGTATTGGTGATTGTAGTTCATGTGGCTTTAGTCCATTTGCTCAGTATTATTTTCAAAAACACACATGCTTTCCCAGATTCACAGATACAGAGAAAATTTTCAGAATCTTACGAAGTGTCTACTAAAGTTTGGTCCCTGCTGTCACCCCTGGAAAGATGTATTCTTATAAGGAACATACCAGGAATCATCTTCCCTATGCAGGTCTTCACTCCAAGATGAAGGATCAGTGAAAATGAGGAAAGTGTCTGTTAGGATTAGAAAGAGATGCTCTGCTTTTTCATCTTTGTAACTCCCACATCATCATTTATTATAATGACAAGGAATGAGGCTTCTAATTTTGCCTGTGTTTAGAATTTTTTTTTTAATTGGAAACTCACTTTCAAGCACATTTTTTAAAGAGCTATATCGGCAAGAGCTATCTAAAATAACAGAATGACACTTGTTAAAGATATCTTTACATTTCCAATTCTCTTACTTTTCTGGCTGAGTCACTGTGAGCAGTGCTTCTTTTTCTGTAAAACTGTCATTTTAGAACTCACTTGATGCTTCTGCTTGAGCCGTTACCACTGCTGAATCTCAAAAGGAAGGGTTTATCTTATTAATTAAAACCATTAACATATATGATATTCTGACTTCTTTTTTTTTTTCTTTTTCCTTTTTTTTTTTTATTGCATTTTAGGTTTTGGGGTACATGTGCAGAGCATGCAATACAGTTGCATAGGTACACACAGGGCAGTGTGTTTTGTTTGCTTTCTCCCCTTCACCCACATTTGGTATTTCTCCCCTGGCAATCCCTCCCCACCTCCCCCTCCCACTGGCCCTCCCCTTTTCCCCCTATAGACCCCAGTGTTTAGTACTCCCCTCTCTGTGTCCATGTGTTCTCATTTTTCATCACCCGCCTATGAGTGAGAATATGCGGTGTTTCATTTTCTGTTCTTGTGTCAGTTTGCTGAGAATGATGTTCTCCAGATTCATCCATGTCCCTATAAACGACACGAACTCATCATTTCTGATTGCTGCATAATATTCCATGGTGTATATGTGCCACATTTTCCCAATCCAGTCTATCATCGATGGGCATTTGGGTTGATTCCAGGTCTTTGCTATTGTAAACAGTGCTGCAATGAACATTCGTGTGCATGTGTCCTTGTAGTAGAACGATTTATAGTCTTTTGGATATATACCCAGTAATGGGATTGCTGGGTCAAATGGGATTTCTATTTCTAAGGCCTTGAGGAATCGCCACACCATCTTCCACAATGGTTGGACTAATTTACGCTCCCACCAACAGTGTAAAAGTGTTCCTTTTTCTCCACATCCTCTCCAGCATCTGTTGTCTCCAGATTTTTTAATGATCGCCATTCTAACTGGCGTGAGATGGTATCTCAATGTGGTTTTGATTTGCATCTCTCTGGTGACCAGTGACGATGAGCATTTTTTCATATGATTGTTGGCCTCATATATGTCTTCTTTCGTAAAGTGTCTGTTCATATCCTTTGCCCACTTTTGAATGGGCTTGTTTGTTTTTTTCCTGTAAATCTGTTTGAGTTCTTTGTATATTCTGGATATCAGCCCTTTGTCAGATGGGTAAACTGCAAAAATTTTTTCCCATTCTGTTGGTTGCCGATTCACACTAGAGACTGTTTCTTTTGCCGTGCAGAAGCTGTGGAGTTTCATTAGGTCCCATTTGTCTATTTTGGCTTTTGTTGCCAATGCTTTTGGTGTTTTGTTCATGAAGTCCTTGCCTACTCCTATGTCCTGGATGGTTTTGCCTAGATTTCCTTCTAGGGTTTTTATGGTTCCAGGTCTTATGTTTAAGTCTTTAATCCATCTGGAGTTAATTTTGGTGTAAGGTGTCAGGAAGGGGTCCAGTTTCTGCTTTCTACACATGGCTAGCCAGTTTTCCCAACACCATTTGTTGAACAGGGAGTCCTTTCCCCATTGCTTGTTTTTGTCAGGTTTATCAAAGATTGTATGGTTGTAGCTATGTTGTGTTGCCTCTGATGCCTCTGTTCTGTTCCATTGATCTATATCTCTGTTTTGGTACCAGTACCATGCTGTTTTGATTACTGTAGCCTTATAGTATAGTTTGAAATCCGGTAGTGTGATGCCCCCCGCTGTGTTCTTTTTGCTTAGAATTGACTTGGCTATGCGGGCTCTCTTTTGGTTCCATATGAAGTTCAAGGTGGTTTTTTCCAGTTCTGTGAAGAAAGTCAATGGTAGCTTGATGGGGATAGCGTTGATTCTGTAAATTACTTTGGGCAGTATAGCCATTTTCACGATATTAATTCTTCCTAACCATGAACATGGAATGTTTCTCCATCTGTTTGTGTCCTCTCTGATTTCGTTGAGCACTGGTTTGTAGTTTTCCCTGAAGAGGTCCCTTACGTTCCTTGTGAGTTGTATTCCAAGGTATTTTATTCTTTTTGTAGCAATTGTGAATGGCAGTTCATTCTTGATTTGGCTCTCTTTAAGTCTGTTATTTGTGTATAGGAAGGCTTGTGATTTTTGCACATTGATTTTATATCCTGAGACTTTGCTGAAGTTGCTTATCAGTTTCAGGAGTTTTTGGGCTGAGGCGATGGGGTCTTCTAGGTATATTATCATGTCGTCTGCAAATAGAGACAATTTGGCTTCCACCTTTCCTATTTGAATACCCTTTATTTCTTTTTCTTGCCTGATTGCTGTGGCTAAAACTTCCAGTACTATATTGAATAGGAGTGGTGACAGAGGGCCTCCTTGTCTAGTGCCGGATTTCAAAGGGAATGCTTCCAGTTTTTGCCCATTCAGTATGATATTGGCTGTTGGTTTGTCATAAATAGCTTTTATTACTTTGAGATACGTTCCATCGATACCGAGTTTATTGAGGGTTTTTAGCATAAAGCGCTGTTGAATTTTGTCAAATGCCTTCTCTGCATCAATTGAGATAATGATGTGGTTTTTGTTTTTGGTTCT